TGGGCTCTACTTCCAAGTCAGTTTCACAAACATCAAATAGGGCAAGATCCTTACAAGGGAGAATTTGAGATTTAAACCACAAAGTGCTGGTAAAAGCAACTGTTGCTGTCTTAGGAGTCGTTGACCATCTTAAGGTCCTGTGAAATATCAGGCCGTTTCAAGCATTTTAGGTTTCCTTGACAGCGGAGAGATTTCTACCTTGGCATAAAGCACACAGATGAGTAGGCATGTTTCAAACACAAAGCTGACTAGCATATTTTTTTAGATGTCATGCAGCCAGGTTATTTTAAACGTGTATATGAAAAAAAATTATAATTAACAGCCTACTCAGATGTACATAGCATTACCCAGAAAAACCAGCTGTCCAGATGAACACTCAGTGTTGCGTCAACATGTCAAGAATAACTGGCACTCTTGAGAACAAGACAAGAAAAGCAAAGAGATTGTACTGACAACTTCAAAAACCTACATTAAAACCGACCAGGTGGCCTTAGATATGCTCTAGGTAGCATCTACAGTACAGTCTAAGCTCTCCTTCCAAGTCAGTTTCACAGCCATTCACACCCTAAATATCTGCGACCAAAACACTATAAAAATCGGTCAGGTGGGCCAACGACTAACAAGTGGCAAATACCCAGGTGCTCCATCTTCTGAATGGGTAGATCAATTGCTCACACTTGACATCAACAACTCTTAACGTTCAGTGTATCAACCATAGCATATAATCATGAGGCTTAATGTAGAAATGATATTAGAATATTAGAAGCTCTGGTGTGTTACGTTGAAAAATTTTCAAATGGCTCCCCTGCATGGCAGAATTCACCTTCACTCTACACATGTCATTCTTAAACGCAAACTGTGCCTCAACGCTGTTCATAGTTTCAGAAAGACTCATGGTTTGTCATTACCATCGCCTGCTTTACTAGGTACAACCAGAATACAAATATTACCATGCTAATTGAGCTTTATGGACAATTATTTCCTTGCAAAATGTCTTTTCACATCACAGTTATACCAACATTGAATGAAGTAAGGTACTTACATGGGAGGTTTCGAGATTTAAAGCACAAAGTGCTGGTAAAAGCAACTGTTGCTGTCTTAGGAGTCGTTGACCATCTCAAGGTCCTGTGAAATATCAGGCCGTTGCAAGAGTTTTTGTTTTCCTGGAGGTGCGGGTAGATTTCTGACTAAACTCTGCAATTGCTCTGACATTCCACAAATTTGGATGACAAAGTAGGATTAGCAAAAAATGTATAACTTGAGAAATGAAGAAATACCCATCTGTTGAAGTCTTAAGACTGTGTATTCAGGAAGTGGTGGACTCGCCAGACTTGTGATGACATGAGCGCAACCATAGCTATGAGTTAATTTTCCCAGACTTGAAGGCTGGAGAATGTGCTATTAATGACCACTCAACATAGGTGAACGTTTTACACAGAGTTCAAAAGGACTGTGTTTGTGTTTGCAAAGTGTCTGTGTCTGTTTTACCTTCATAACTTTGTGTAGTATGATGTAAAGTTAAACCCCAGAGGTTCAGCATGTTTAAACAGATTCTGCTGAACCATGAACTATCTGTTTTGGATCTCTGTGTTATGAGTGCAGTGACCACGGTTTAAGTCGCTGCTGCAGAACACCGTTTTAAAGAAACCCGCTAAGCTTTGTTCTTAAAGTAATACTACTGTTAATACTACTAATTGAACACACCTGTTTCAAATCACGGGTTCACTGCAAGGCCCCTGCAGAACTGGTCAAGAAGACAATGTGACAATTTAGAACTTTGAATCCCCTGTGTGTGTAGTAGGAAAATGTGTAAAATATTAAAGAGCACCAGCTGTTGAGGACTTCACTTGGACACCTCAGGGCTGTAAAATTCAGGGACTAATGTCACGTCAAAGGTTTTCGCTCGTAATGGGTGTGAAAAATATATGCCGTAGCTACGTCGGTTCTATACATGTGGTGGGTGCTGAGTGCATCTTGTCTTTGTGGACTTCGATAGCTCAGTTGGTAGAGCGGAGGACTGTAGGTAGTTAACTCTGCTGTCCTTAGGTCGCTGGTTCAACTCGGGCTCGAAGGAGTCAATTTTGAAGACTGGAGAATGTGCAATTTATGACCGCTCATCATAGGGGAACGTTTTACACAGAGTTCAAAAGGACTATGTTTGTGTTTGCAAAATGTCTGTAAAACCTTGACCTTTTTACCTTCATACTTTGTGTAGTATGGTGTAGTCAAACCCCAGAGGTTCAGCTTGTTTAAACAGATTCTGCTGAGCCATGAACTAGCTGTTTTGGATCTCTGTGTGGTGAGTGCCGCGACCACGGTTAAATTCGCTGCTGCAGAACGTCGTTTTAAAGAAACCCGCTAGCTTTGTTCTTAAAGTAATACTACTCAGTGTAGCAGAAAGGGATGGGACTTCTTGTACGTTGTGTAGAGAAAGTGCGTGCAGTGTCTTTCATGCCTGAGATCTTTTCCTGCTTTAGTACACCTGACTCAAATGAAAGGATCATCATAAGGCCTTTGCGCAGCTTGACAACACGCCTTACCAATTATTCACCCTTTTCAGTCACCAGTATCAGTGAATGGAATTATCTAAATCAATGAAGGACAACAGCCTCGGAGGCTACAGGTGTAGAACCGATATCATGGACATACCTTTTGTGCTTTCAATGAGTGTCCGGGATTAAAGACGTCTCAGTAAGTTAGGTCAGGAAGGACTCACTCACACACACAACTGAGTGAGCAATCAGGAGCTGTGATCGTATAGTGGTCAGTACTCTGCGTTGTGGTCGCAGCAACCCAAGTTTGAATCCGGGTCACGGCATTCCAATCTGACAACCTCTCTGCAGCTTCCTTAGGAAAAGTAGCATTGGTCTCTGTGTCAGGAAAGGATGGTGTTTCTTCTACATGCTTTATAGATGGGCTGGCCGATATTTCTAATTTCTTAGCTAATTCAACACACCTGATTCAAATGACGGGTTCACTGCAAGGCCCCTGCAGAACTGGTCGAGAAGGCGATGCGACAATTTAGCATTTTGATTCCCCGGTGTTGTAGTAGGAAAATGTGTAAAATATTAAAGAGCACCAGCTGTTGAGGACTTCACTTGGACACCTCAGGTCTGTAAAATTCGGGGACTAATGTCACGTCAAAGGTTTTGATCGTAATGGGTGTGAAAAATATATGTCTTAGCTACGTCGGTTCTATACATGTGGTGGATGCTGAATGCAGCTTGTCTTTGTGGCCTTCAATGGCGGACCAATAGCCATTGGGATTCAATCTTTGACTCGCTAATCACCGGGACTGGTCAATATTTTGATGACCAATCGCAGGGCGAAGTCACTCTTTGTCTTAGCCAATCACTGGAACGCTTCAATCTTTTGGGCGGCCAATCGCTGGGGGAGCAGAATCTGTGTCCCGCCTACACGGTACTGGCAACTTGATGTCCAGAGCTCATAGTTGGTGTGCTGTCGTCAGTTTGGGTAAGAGTTTTGCATGCATTGTTGAATATTAAGTTATTTTTATTATATACAATATAGTTAGCCTGTTTGTTGCCACTAAAGTTGTCCCTACTTGGCTAAAGCAGTCCAGTTGACAAAGTGTCAGTGGTAAGCTTCATAATGAAATCTAAAACAAATGTAATGCTTTACCATCTCAACAAATACAACTTAGTATGTGTTGCTACCATGTTCATCCAAGAGTAAAAAGAAAATTATTTATTTTATAGGGAAACACCATAGAATCTATAAGGATATGTGTTTGTTTTTATTTTATTTTAGTGCTGATATCAAGCCCTGGCTGTTAGTATGAATATGTGTTTTATATTGTGTTGCATACATGTCTTTGTAATCCACCCTTTTGGGTACTTGTTGTGATGAGTTTATCTAAATGCAACATGAATAAAATTGCTTATCTGTCATTTCAGAAAATGTCTAAAAAAACTCCAAAAGCCACAAGGTTATGGATGATTACAAGTGGTTTTTCAGACTGAGGTCTTTTGCTTCCACTGGTGTCTGGCCATCAGATGCAGGTAACCGATCTGCCCCATGGCAACAGAAGTGGTACACTCTGTATCAGAAGGTATGTTAGAAAATAATCCAAAGACATACATTTTATTTTTAATCTAGCAGACACTTTTCTCCCAGCCACAAAGGTGTTTGTGTGGGTTTCATCTTCCTAAGGTAAGCCAAATTTGGGCCTTTTTTAACTACAGTTGATGCAGTATGCATACAGTGTAAAGATGCATTTCTTTCTCATAATGTATTCTTGGACTATTTGTTGTTTATTTCTGGACTGGTTGGGCAACAGGTCTGTTCCACAGCAGAGGAAAAGGATCAGCAGGTAAAAGAAGGTCATAAGGTTTAAACTAACTTCATCACTAATATAATAAAAAACAAAACAAAAAACCTCTTAATCGGTCACGTCATTTGCATGAAATGGGTATTTATTGATTCTTCATTATAAATGAAGTGTGTGAGTGGTTGTTGGTGATTGGAGGGTCCATTGGCGCATGCATTTGCAACCGTGTTTCCATCACTCTACCTCTAAGGACAACTGTGGCTCTGACTGAGAAGCAACTAGATCGGGAAATTACAAAGGAAGAATTGGAGCTGCATGGCAGGAGGAGGACGCGTCGAGAAGACTAAACCATCCAGCTGTTGGATCAGCTCATCAGTGAGCTCATCAGTGACAAGGGAAAAGATTTGTTTGGTGTTCCTCTTCTGGACCCCATCCGAATGCAGCACATCTGGCTTGTTCAGAAGAGACACATGAAGTGCATTCAGGACCCACCTGATGTAGCACTGTACACACAGACTGGCACCATCATTAAGGGAGGAGTCCAGCTGCAGACCCTGCGCTGTGCCAGAGGTTCAACATCTTTGGAGTCTTTCCACTGCCACTTAGACTGGTTCTTTCCAGGTACATGCAATTTAATAATGCTGCTTAAGTTACAACAAATACTATACTTTTTCCCTTTCTAATGTTTGGTATTCATTCCAGGAAACAGTGTCAACTCCCTTAACTTCCAGATCTACCTATTGGAAGGGCTACATCGCTGGAACCACAACAGGGCAACTGCTGCTGTAGAGACAGAAACCTCTGGTTTGCGCACCTACTCTGGCGAACTGGTTCATTGTGTGAAAACCGATTATGAGAGGGTTTTCGGCAAAAAGCTGGTTCCCTCTTTTACACCACCTGCAAAATACACAGGTATTCAATACGGTATGTTTTATGCTCATTGTCCTGTATTTAATTCTCTACTGTTTTTTGTTTTTTTTGTAATCCAAAATTGGTTGTGCATTTTCAGGTGAACTGATAGGAGTGCAGTACCTGCTGAGGCAGAATAATGAACCACTGCAGGACATGACACCAGATTCTGAGGAGGCAGATGCATTGTTGGAGCAAATAGAAGTACAACAGTCAGTAGAGGCCGATGAGGGCTTTGAGGAACTTGAGAGTATTGAGGTCTCACTTGCAGTTAAAATTCAAATATATAACAACCACAAAGATAAGCTCTAAAGACAAGAACCTAAAAAGCAGTGGACATGTTATCACATGAATGTGTTTATCCAGAAAGTAAATGCTGATTGAGAATGTTTTGTGATGATTCATAATTCTGCCTCTAGGCTCATTTTGATACTGCTTTTCCAACTTAGATCAAAAGTAATAAAAAGTAATAAATACTATTCAATAAACACCTTAGTCAACATTTCCTCTGAAGTTTTGCTCAAAGTTAATGTTTGCTTTGGGGTTTTAATCGCGGCAACTCAGTTTTAACAATTTGTTTTTAAATTGTGGCTGTTTTGGATTTTGAAGCAAGTCTTATTATTTTGTCAATGGACAAATTTGTCAGGCTGGTCCCAGCCACCATTTCAGGCCTTCTTCACCTAGGAGAAAAATAAATGTTTAGGGTTATCACTCACATCATCAGGCAATATCGTGGGATGACTCTTCATCAACCTTTCCAGAGAAATCATAAGTATTGTGACTGGCAATGCCTGGAAATAAACAATTTGATCATACAGTCATCCCAGTACAACAAATTAACACAAACAAGAAATCACAAACTTGGGTAGTGAAATCAGCATTTTTCTTTCTTTCGTCTTCTTCATTTCACAACACATAATCATATTTGTACATTGTTATTTCCATTATTATTATATACAAAGAAGACAAAAATAAACGACATTGCAGTCTTGCTGTGTACCAGCTTATTAAGGAGTAAAAGAAGATAAAAAGTAAATAGATTAGTTATAAACAGAATCATTTCATTCAGAAAAAGGAAAGTATAGCCTACCTTTGTAGCACCTGGTGGTCTGACACAAAAACTATGGATACTTGGCCTCTTGTCACCCTTTTTGCAGCATCAAGTAGTGAAAGTTGAAATTTAATTTGTACTCCTGCCTACCACAATGAACCTCTTTATGCATAAATAATGGCTGTGCCATCTAAACATTATTAGTTAAGTTTTAGTTAAGTTTTCAGTCCAACTTTCCTTTCATTTTCTTATCCTTCATTCTATTCTTACCTCTATTATTTGATTTTCCGTACCACTGCAATGCTCCTCCTTATGCACAGCGTCCTGAGTGCCTTGTTGCTGAAAAGCGCTATATAAATAAACTGGACTTGACTTGACATAAATCGGTATGTATAATCCGCCTGGGATTTTATTGTTTGTAATTAAATCAACTCTATCATTTAATGCAACTACTACTTTTGGTGAAAACCAAGTTTTAAACATAGGACATTCATTTTAATCTTGTCAGAAGGCAATGGTAGGTTTATTTTTTTCAAATTATAGAGAGTTAACAGCATTTTTTCTCCTTCTGTCAAGTTCTTTAAAGTTTAATCACTGCAATTATTTGTTGTACAGTTTTCGAAAAATCATCTTTTGGAGTCAAAAAAATCTGAGTCTAACTGGTCGAGCTAAAATTCTAAATTTAATATTGTTTGGAAGCCTGTTACCTTAAAATTGTCACATTATCGTTCTGAGAATGTTTTTTTTCCTATCCAGCTCGCAAAAGAGTTTTCCACAACTAGTGCTGCCAGTCCTAGAACACGCTGATGTTATTTATGGCCAT